ACCCCTTTCAGGAATTCAATCATTCCAGAAGCAGGGCTTTACCTTTATAGACTTAACCTGTAGAATACCTAATGCATACGTTAATTTCACAGGCAAATTCAAACGCAGAGAATATCAAGCTGATCTCGGCTATGTTGTGTGCTGCGCTGTATCCCAATGTTGTGCAGGTAAAAGAATGCTTTCTCATTTTCCCTTCTGCTGTCTAGCATATCCTCACAGCCTGCTTTCAGTCTGGGCTGGTGGTGGCAGCCTTGAGCCTGGCTTAGGTTGCCAAAGCTTGCTGCTCACAGTTGTTAGCACCAGGCAGCTGAGCTCCAGTTCGTATCGCTTGGGACCGCTGCTGTTCCTACAGGCTGATTTTAGTGTCACACAGGAGCCAACAGCCAAAGTTCTTAAGAAGCTATTTTAAATTACAGCTTTGTAACCTCAGCTTTAGAAGGCTGAGGTTACAAATGAGCACACACTCAGGGTTAGACAGCACCTGGAGTGCAGTATCTCTCTCTGGTGACCTGACATGCTACTACTTGAGGATTTCATTGATAAAATGAAAACATAAGTTAAAAATGTCTTCTGATAAAGCAGATTTTTACAACTTTTTTTTCTGACCCTACAGGTGAAAAAGCCAGAGGGCAAATACCAGAAGACCAGTACAGGAGTGGTCAAATTGCAGCCTAAAGCAGAAGAGCTGAAGTTTGTTACCAAAAATGATGGTTATGTTCACATTCATCCTTCGTCTGTGAATTACCAGGTCAGGATTCTTTTTTTTTCTGCAAAGCTGAAAGTGGGGTTTTGATCATTAACCACATATTTGGGATATAAAGGCTTTGAACTGTTATCACTTGCTTTGAAAGAGCATAACAAAGGCGCCCATGAAAATGTCCTTAACATGAAATAGAGAATTTGGGGCCTTGAGGCAACAGTGATGAATTAGCTGATTTCTCACATGCTCACTGCAAAGCGGGATGGAGCAAGGGATAACTGCCAGTTATTGGCAACACTTACGGGTCAGACTCAAGGTACCTTTTAACCACATTTGCTGTTCTTTGCAGCCATAGAAGAGGCAGGCAGGCCTGTATTTGTCTGAGCAGGTAGGAAGAGGTGTGGCACTGTAATGAGGATGTGGTGTATGTGTTCCAGACTAGGCACTTTGAAAGCCCCTACCTGGTGTATCATGAGAAGATCAAGACCAGCCGTGTGTTCATTCGAGACTGCAGCATGGTGTCAGTGTACCCACTGGTCCTCCTCGGAGGTGGGCAGGTCCACATGCAGCTGCAGAAGGGAGAATTTGTCATTTCTCTTGACGATGGATGGATACGGTTTGTGGCTGCCTCTCACCAGGTAAGGAAAAGCAGGGATAATCCTGGGAGTGCTGCAGAGCTCTGCTTGTGTGTGGAATGCAGGAGATGCACCTCTGTGTTTTACCATAGGTGGCTGAGCTGGTGAAAGAGCTGCGCTGTGAACTGGACCAGCTGCTGCAGGATAAAATCAAGAATCCAAGCATGGACTTATGCATGTGCCCCCGTGGATCTCGGATCATCAGTATGATTGTAAAGCTTGTGACCACGCAGTAATGTGAGAACAGCTTCCTGTACTCACTGTTTGCTACTGTCTGAGAATGGACCAACTAACATCAGTGTCTTGATGTATCTGTCATCCCCAAAAATGGCACGGATCTCTGGAAGACCAAGTTGGCACCTGTATTATTGACAGGTTTTGGATTATTTTTGTTTAGTTTCTTTGTTTACAGAGAGCTCTCCTGTTGACAGTAAGGTTTGTTACACTACACACTGGGGCATGGGAAAATGGCAAATCTCCCAAGAGGAGGAGAAACTGCCAGCTAAGGAAGTGTTTTTTCGTGAGGCCATACACTGGCAATAGTGTTTTCTGGGCACAAAAATACCTGCTACCTAGCTGCTTTTTTTGTACTGGTGATGTCTGGAGGCAACATGTGAGATCATAAGCTGCTCCTGAATTGGGTTTAAACTCACTTCTGCATTTTGGCCGAGACTTTACTGAGTCGGTCATAGCTGACCAGAGATGGAGCTGTTTATGGTTCAAGCCAATGCCCTCAAAAAGGTGAGCACGTTTTAATTCATGTCAGGTGGTTCTGAAATAGGTTTAGAGAACATCCCCTGGTGAGGAGGCTGTACCAGATCATTTGGAGAAACATGTTGGACCCATGCAGGCTGTTCTGGTTAGTGTAAAGCTGCAGGAGTGGAGGTTTCCCCTGGCAGCCAGGCTTCTCCAGTTTCACCCTGTGCTATGAAAAAGTCTTCCAATACCTAAAGGGCTGACAAAAAAGCTGGCAGAGGGGCTTTTTACAAGGATATGTAGTGACAGGATGAGGGGGAATGGCTTTAAACTGACAGAGGGGAGTTTTAGCTGAGATATTAGGAAATTCTTCCTTGTGAGAGTGGTGAGGCCCTGACACAGGTTGCCCAGAGAAGCTGTGGCTGTGTTCAAGGCCAGGTTGGATGGGGCTTGGTCTAGTGGAAGGTGTCCCTGCCCATGGCAAGGGGATGGAACTAGATGGGCTTTAAGGTCCCTTCCAACCCAAAGCATTCTGTGATTCTGCGACTGCTGTAATGCACTAAAAATGGATCCTGGAGTGGATGGATGGTTACTGTTAACCTCCTCTGGTAGCTGGTAGTACTTCTGCCACCCTGCAGAGCTGGAAGAAAGCCCCACTTCTGGAAACTACTAGCCAAACTCCTACTCTGGGGATTGGACTGCTACAGAAGAGTAGCAGAATGTTGCAGTAGTAATACTACTTCTTTCCTTTGACATTGCTCAGTTCCAGTGCTGAGCGTTGCTACAGATAAGCTGCCTGATATACTAGCAAATAGCAAGTGCCTTAACTTTGCTGTCATCTGTAATAGTAAAACCAGAGTAAATGCTGTCTCTGCCACCAGCCCTCCCTAGAAATAGCCTCCAGGCTGAAGCATGATGCGTACAGAGGGAAGCACATCCTTGCAGGACTACTGTGATTTTTCAGAAAGTACACTCACTTGTAGAAGTAGTTTCACAGCAACACACCCTTGTGTGTGGAAGACAGGAGTACCAACACCAACATACCAAGGCAGCAGAATGGTCTCTGCAGATATGCTGAACTGCTGTTGTGGTTTAACCCAAGCTAGCAACTAAGCAGTGCACTGCTACAGTCCACCCCTGCAGTGAGACAGAGGAGAGAAATGGTAAAGATAAAAACAGTTTAACAGGTAAAGCAAAAGCCATTTGTGCAAGCAAAGCAAATTAAGGAATCCATTCACTGCTTCCCATCGCAGGCAGGTGTTCAGCCATCTCCAGGACAGCACAGCTTTGTCACACATAATGGTTACTTAGGATGACAAACACCATCACTCTAAACATGTGTGTCCTTCCTTCTACTTCCCCCAGCTTTATATGCCGAGCATGACACCACATGGTCTGGAGTATCCCTTCAGTAGTTGGCATCAGCTAGCCTGCCTCTGTCCCCTCACTTCTTGTGCCCCTTCCCAGCCTACTCAGTAGTATGAGCAGCAGAAAAGGCTGTGTAAGCACCGCTCAGCAGCGATTATCTTTGTATTATCACACAGTTGTCAGCACAAATCCAAACCACAACCCCATACTATGAAGAAAATTAACCTTATCCTGGCCAAAGCCGGCACTACTGCAGGTGACTGAAGTGTTCCCACAGCTTGATGTTAGTCACCAGTAGCACCATACTTCTGTACCTACCCACCTGGACAGGGTTAACAAAGAGCTGTTAGGGTGTTAAAAGCACTAGAGGCACATGGAGTTTGTTGTCAGCCATAAGCTCTGTGTGAAGCAGGACTAGTAGAGCATTCAATGGGAGCTGATTCTTTTTCACCTCAGACTTCCATAGAGGTGGTATCCTCTTAAGTAAATGACATCCCAGCCATCAGGGAGTATTATATTTTGGATGAAAACTAGTGCTCAAGCAGGGGCTGTATGACTCTTCCCTCAAGTACATGCTAAATTCCATGGGAAGTGAAGGTGAGGGCAAGGACAGCTGACTGATAAGTAGCTACATTCCCCTAGCAGAGGCAGGACATGTGCAATGTCCTGGTGTCTTGCCTGGTAGAACTGCCATGTGTGGAAGGGAGCAAAGCATAAACTGATGCAATCAAAAGGTTACAGTGAGTATGGAACTGTGAGCACACCCCTCCTATCCCACCCCCGTGGGCTGCAGCACTAGCTGTTATTTCAGGATTTCTAAATAGTGCCCCATTCACTGACAAATATGCAATTCCTGGAAATTGCAGATGCACTTCAAGGACTGGGCACAGTGGTTATATTACTTACATCTTTCAGCAGGTACGTGCTGCCCCCCAACCCTCCTACCCCCAGTAATCCTCTTTCCCTCCATCCTCCTCTATCCCAACTCCCCCCCTTTGTAACACTCTTAATACCTGACTGAAAAAGAAATTTATTCACTAGAAGTGTTTTAGTCTACAGGTTTATTTATGGAGTCAGCTTGCTTTGCAGTACAGAGGAAAAAAGTCACCCCACTCTCCCTCTTTAAAAACACTGTTGTACAGAGCAGTTGTACCATTGATGCAATAAACTATGGTGGGGCAGGGAGAAGTGAAAATCACCTGGCACTGTCTTTACTAGTCTGTTAACAGCCATTATCAGCTGCAAACTGATAATAACCTCTCAAACTTGCAACTACCTTGGGTGAGTTTATCATACTTGTATTAAATCCCCCCATGGTGAGATGGTGGCCATCTGTATCTAGGCAGCCACAGTCCAGTTTCCAAAGCAGCAACTGGTAAGGACAGCACTAAGTCCCATGGTTGCACTTTACTACCGAAGGAGATGATGTGACCAGTGACACCAGGTCAGTGTCTAACACGAACTCTCACTGCCTCAGATATACTGACTGCTACTTAAACATGACCTTCAATCTACACAAAAAGCTTTAATTTCCCCCAAAGAGTGTATCTTCTGCACCAGAACTGCCAGTTTACCCTAACTATCACAACTGGACACAGAACAAGATTTCTAAAAGTATTTACTTCAACAGTTTACATTCCAGAAATATTCCAAATACCTCCAAGTGAGAAGTTCACTGGTCCTTTAATCATCAGGACAAAGGAGCATTCACACAGTTGTTTTTTCGAATCTGTTAACACCCTTTGTAAGCATTTTTGAAAGCCAAATCATCAAGTGTACAAGCACCTCCAGACAGGTTTTCAGCTTCACTGAGCTTTGAGGAGGTGCAAATAAAACTACACAGTACAGATCACCATAGCATTTAAGACCAAACATTAACACTGACAAGCTGGTACTGGTACCCTAATCCATGCTCCAACAGGCACACACCTGCAGAGCTACTGACTGGCTGCTGCATTACCCTCAGTTCACAAGTGCCTCCTGCTTTTCACCAGTGACCTGTAACCTGCTTCAGCTACCCAAATATTAACAGAAAGAGCAGGGTTATCACAAAATACTTCTTCTTTAGAAATGCAGTTTATTTCAACGCTCCAATAAAAAAAGCCCAACGTTTCCAGATCACAGAACATTAACACAACAAAGGAGTTTTGCGTTAGTCTACTACTAAGACTTTTAAAATGTTCATGCCAATTGTTAGTCAATAGAAACAGCCTTCTAGGACTAAGCCCTTACATTTATAAAGACACCACAAAATCCCTTATAATAATGTAAACAAAATAAATTTTTCTTCTTAAACTTCTTTAATTCAAATCCATTCTTTAATGACTTCCACTCCTTCAAGGGCTTCCTGATGGCGAGTGACTGAAAGGGAAAGAAAAACATTAAAAGCAACTCTTACAGCAAACCCAACAAACAGATATAGTATGTGCTAACCCACGTTTCCTCTGCTCGGGAGCCATTCCTGCCTCATAATGTCCTTTACTACAGTGTTCTCATTTACAGTTCATGAATAATGAGAAGTGTTGTATTTTACTCCTTTATAAGTAAAAAACTGCATTAAGATTGAAAAGGGCAGGCAAAACAAAGAGCCATTAGCTGCCATAGCTAGGTGAGACATCAAGCCTCCTCAGGAAGAACCTTCAAGGCCTGTGCTCCAGCTGTGCAGAGGAATTCCTACTCTGCCATATAACCTATTGTTCCAGTTTAGGGCTCTGCAAGGCACCAACTCAGACTACATAAATTTCAGCACACACTTCTCTGGTTCCATAGGAAAACCTGCTTCTTCCTTCACAGTGCACAGCAAAACTTGGCAGTGGTGCAACTGAGACCCAGCTGCGAGGAGCCACCAGCAGGAATTTAATCCTACTACACATACATAGTTTGCTCCATACCTCACATTATTCACTTCTTCCCTGGATTCTAAGCTCCTTAACTTTGGGAGAGCAGATTCTCATTTGCCCACATTTTCTGTCGTCCTTTAACATTTCATTTAAGTATGTTAACTCAGGGTTACTGTCATGAAGTTCTGACTACCAGTAGTAGGAAGTGCCCATAAAACATCATCTTTTCATAGTAGGAAGTGCCCACAACAATTCATCTTTTCACAGTTCACAGATCAAGACAAACTTTAAGCTTCCATGCTTGCACAAGTTAACTTCTCCAGCACTCGTGTCTGGAGTGGTTGCTGTGTAACTGTATGGCACACTCAAGTTTTAAGGGATTCCTACCTTCTCTTTGGAGATGGTGATCTGGACTTTGAACGACTGTTAAAAAAAGGAGAAAAGCCATCAATGTGATAAACTTGTACACACTCAGCAACCACTTCTGGCCATTTTAAACCAGTAAGAACAGTTTGATGTTAAATATGTTAACATGCTGATGACAGCAAGTACACCAAATTACATCAAGCAAGAAGCTGCAGTAGGGAAGGAAAACTGCTGAAAACTGGAGCCCTCAGAAAGAGCAACACAGCATCAAAGCAGGTGTAAAATGATCACGATCACAGCAGAACTGCAAAGCAGGAGCAGTGAATCACAAGGTCAGGAACACTAAGAACTACAGAGTTGAGAACTAAAGGTAGGGAAAGATACGCCCCAAATGTTGTCAAAAAATACTTTTTGTCACAACTATGGGTTAAACAAAAACCTATATCCTGGGAAAATTGTTTAGTGTGTGCCCCCCCCCCCCCAGCAATGTATGAAAAATACTTTAAAAACAGCTATTAAAAAAAGAAAAGAGAGAATGCCCACCACACCTCATCCACATGCAACTGCAATACTGGTTTGAGGGAAAAAAAACCCACCAAATCCCAAAACACAACATATTCAGTGTTGCTTGTATGTATATGCTCACCTTTTAGCAGGTAAGCCAGATTTAGATCTACCATGGGACCCAGACCTACAATAGGAGAAAAATAAAGCTCAGCAAAGCAGCCAGTAGCATGCACATACAATGAAAGTTAGCTAAACCAGCAACAGCAAGTTCATACTACGTGGTATCACAAGCCAGAGAGGGAGGCTCTGGTGCTGCAGGCTTTTCTTATGATGGTTCAGAAGAATCTTTTAGCTCTTATTCCAGAGATCCCACTCATCAGAAGAGTACAAGCACAAGCAGCTCCCCAGCAATGCTTCAGCTACCACCATCACAAAACAAGACCCTGTAGCAGCTTCCAGACATTCTCCCCATATATTTTCAAGTACAGTACAGCTTTTCCATCAGTTATCCCAACAACATTTTGGTTTTCTCTTTAGTATCTGACTAGTAAAGTGTAAACTATTGCCAGTTCATCTTACGAATTAAAACTACTCCAACAGCAATGCTTTCCTGACATTTCTGTTCCTTTACCAACTCAAATATTTGCTGTTATTAGAAAATAACTGTACTCCCAGAATGCCAGAATTCAGGCATGAACATCAGAAAGCCTGGTGCTCAAGAGAGTCAGCTGTTTAGCAGACTTGGCCAAAAAGCAAACTTTTGGTACAGGTTGCCCAGAACAGCTGTGGCTTCCCCATCCCTGGCAGTGTTCAAGGCCAGGCTGGACAGGACCTGGAGAAGCCTGGTTTAGTGGAAGTCGTCCCTGCCTGTGGCAGGGGTTTGGAATTGGATTAACTTTACAGTTCTTTCCAACCCAAACCATTCTGTGATTCTATTTCTGCTTAGAACTGCTTTTAAAGCAGTGAATTAAAAAAGTCACCTTTACCTGACCTATTAACTGATAGAAATACTACATGGACACTGTAAGTTAAAAAAAAAGAGTTGCATACCACTGCTTTGAAACCTTCCTGGTCACAGCTCTTAACACTGTAAATAGTTATTTTGCTACTGTATCACAGTTACAGGAGATGGGGTTGCTCTCAACTACCCAGAACTTGCACTTTGCAGCACAAGCACAATTTCCAGCACACAAGAGCATCATCTTGCTACCGAAACTGCTGGCAAACCTTCCTTCTGAGAGGCACAGCAGCAAAGCAGAATTGCAGATCAAAAGCTCTAAAACCAGTGCTGGTTTTGTACTTGTGGTTTGCAGAATTAGCAGAGAACAAGATCTGCTGGAGTTTTCATGATGTTGCCAATATTCTAGCTCTGAACTACCACTTCTTGCCACTGTAACTGCACAGCTGTGCAAAGTCAGCATTCCCCAGAAATTTCAACATGAGTATCAAATCCTTCATGCAGGAATATGACAGTCCCAGAACCCAGTGTCACTGAGCACCATCAGCAGCATCCAAACTCTTCCACAGTAGCGGCATGCATTTTGAGCCTTCATTACAGGCTTGTACAAGTAGTAAGTCAGGACAGCTCTAGTAATAATTATCATCCCCCTTTAGGCTCAACGTACAAGTCCCAAGGTAGCAGACTCCTTGAAAAACATTTCTCATTCCCCATTCTAGTACAAAACAGAAGACAATTACTGCTAACTTCAGATCTCCTATCCACCACATTTTTATCCTATTCTTTCACACTTCTTCCAACTAAAACTTATTATGAAAGACAGAGGAAAATAATACAGGAACATTTACTCTATGCCCATTTTACTCAACTTCCATTTCAGCACTGAAAGCATCCAGATGCATAAAACTGGAGCTACATGTCAGCAAAGTCCTTCAAAACACCACTTGTGGCATTAGGACTCATGGTCCTGTCCACTCAACCCTTCAAACCTCTCAAGTCAAGCACCTTACCCCATGTAATACAGTTCTCAGCAATTTAATTTAATCTAACTCTCAGAACTGGAACTGACAAAGCTGAAAAGCTGTAAGCAAGAGTTCAGTCAATAGTAGCAACCACCTCATTGCTTCCCGTCCAGCCCCACTATTTGGAATTTACAAAGAAACCACGCCAAGAAAAACCTAAGCAACATTTCCTGCAGGTCTCAAGGTCAAGCATTCTCTACATGCACAGGTATTAATTAGTCCTCAAAACTTCTCTCCACAAACCTTACAGCATATATATGTTTTGCTTATGGCCATAGAGACGTTATATAGGAGCCACAGACCAAACAAACTCATGTTTATTCGAGAAATCAGCCACTCTATAGTTCGTGAAAATCGTAAATTACTAAATGCAAACACTGCTGTGCCATGCAACTTCCTAAACCCTTCCAGTCAAATTCTCCAAGGAAAGCAAAAAAAACCCACAAAAAACTACCCCCAATACTAGTATAGGTTTCAACTAAAACAAGTATCTTACCTGCTTCGAGGCCATACAGCAGACCGGGACCTTGAGCGTGACCTGGACCTAGATCTAGGAAAAAGCAGCAACAGATCAACTACTGCTATACGATTCATACAGCTGAGATAGTACTCTTTGACTTTTATGATACTAATCTCAGATAATTTTGTTGGAACTATTAGTTTTGCAGGAAAAACTTTTATTACCAGAAAGATGTAGTACATTTAACCAGTAGTACCTACCACATAAGAAAACCTAACTGATTAAGCACAGTTACTCACTGCAGCCTTAAAAATGAAGTATGAAAACTTAACCTTGGAACAAAGCTGTACCTTTAGTACAGCTAAAGTATAAAAAAGCTCAGAAAAAGCAATTCCAGAATTTCATGTTTACTTTTTAACATCAAACAAAGCATTCAGCTAGCTCTCAGGAATGTTACACCATAAAGGCTCCTGCAAGCACATGAACTGCAAACTAAATGTTAAATCCAAAAGTTACGTTCCCTTCAACAATGTTGTGGGCTTAATGAAAAACACACACCTTGATCTCCTTAAAGAACCAGATCGAGATCTGCGGGGTGAAAATGACCTGTACCTACGAGGAGAGATTGACCTGGACCTGCGGTAGGAAGCTGATCTCGACCTACAAAAGAAAGGGAAACAACTAGAATTACTGCAAGTAATTTTTCACAAGGAGCAGAGAAAGGAGTGGAGCAGAGGAAGGAGTAAGGAAAGGCATGAAAATACAACAGGCAGAACCCTACCTCCTACCACGACTCCGACTGCGTGAGCGAGAATACCTTCGCCCTCGGGACCGTGAACGGGATCTCGACCGGGACCTAGGTTTAGGTTAGAGAAAAGAGGTATGAGGACAAAGCTGCAGCAACCAATGCATGCGAGGCCCTGCTGAAGTCAAAACTTATTTCAGCCAACTAAAAAGAAAATAAAAAAACAACCAAAAATAGGAAAAAAACAAACCAAAAAACCAAACCACAAAAAGAAAACCAAACCACTAGCATCTGTCAGCTGGAAAAATCTCTGGGCCTACTCGTCTTGAGCATTTTACTACCTAGGAAAATGTTAAAAGCTGAATGACATTGCAGAATTACATTAGAATAGAAAACACTGTAATGCGTATTTAAAATAAACCTTGCAAGTTTGCAGGTCGACCCTCTTTGGCCCAAGGTCTAGCAGATCTAGACGATCTAGAAGTATCTATAGCCGATCGCTGCATCTAGGTGTTCTCTTCAATCTAACGACGATCAAACTGACAGCCCAATGAGCCAGGGTGAGGCTTGATTGACGCAAGAAGATTTTTCTAGGTGGGAATGTGGTCAATCTGGTGTTCCTCTTTCTAAACCGGAGGGGGGCCCCAATTGAAAGCCAAATTTACTGTTACGGCGATCACCGTCTCAATTTTTCTGCCCTTAAAGAATAAGGTGAAGCTACGTGTAGATGGCTCGAGGGGATCTGGCCTCTTATGCTGATCACCTCAAGGTCTAGGAGGATCTTAAGTGTCGGATTTGCAAGGCGCCTCAGCATGAAATCTTAAGGCTCGTGACATTCTGAATCAAGGCGACTGACTCAAACGAAGAAACCTGAAAGGTTTTGACCAGGTTGATTATTAAGATATTAACATTTTATATGTATTAGCAAAAAAAAAAAGTGATATACACCTGCTGACTTACAACATTAAGAGTTAAAACTGGTGCAACATTGTGTTCTTGGCTAACAAGAGCTACACAACAGAGAACTGGCGAAGCAATCCAGCCACTCTGGCCCCACACGTACCTGCTCCTCCTTCGGCGACTATAGCGGTGACAATCATAAGCATAGTGGCCTTTCTCACCACACTCATAGCATCTGTCGTTTGGGTCAAAGGGGCGCCGGGCTGGAGGCCTGTCATAACGGGAGCGACGAGGCATCCCAGTTGACACTTCCACTCTAACTCTGGAACCACATATTATCCTGAAAGACATAGTATGTATAAATCACGAGAATACTTGTCTCCCCTGTGCCTGCTACATACAGAATGGATAGTGATGATGGGTGCAGGCTAAAACTGCAGCCACAGCAGTCAAGAATGTTTTAGGCATAAACATACTTTCCATCAAGGCCAAGCACCGCATCTTCAGCATCCCTCGGATCTTCAAACTCGACGAAAGCAAACCCCGGCGGGTTCCTCGCGATCCACACGGTTCTCAGTGGCCCGTAGTAGCTGAAGGCTCTCTCCAGCTCGCCCTTTCCAGCGCCGGTGCCCAAGTTCCCCACGTACACCTTGGTCTCTGCGTGGATGAACGCCATGTCAAGTCCCGCGCACTGCTCCGCACGCCTGTAGTGCGCAGGCGCGGCGCTGGACACGATGCCGCGCGCGCGGGGCAGCCGCTACCGCCCCTCCCTCCCCCCCGCCTTGAAGCGCCGCCATCTTTGACACCGCCTCCATTTTGGTGTGCTCCCGCCGCTCCGCTCCCACCCTTCCACACCGCCCTCACCGGGGCCCACTGCCCGCCAAGCCCGCGGCCACCCCTCCACGGCTGCTCCCGGAGTCTTTCTCCTCGGCCCCCTCCGCTTTCGCAGCCGGCCGCCAGAAGCCAACGGCCGCCTTCTCCCATCCCTCAGCGGAGCGCGAACGACGCCGCTCCCCCCGTGGGCAGCCCCCACTCGCTTCACACTCCCCGCAGCTCCCCGTTCCCCCTTACCATAACGCCCATAGCGCGACATCTTCCCAACTGCAGACTAAACCCCGCGCACCACCCTTATGCAGACGGAGGCTCCGCTGCGACTGCGCGTCGCACCCCGACTGTTCCGTGAGACTGTGGGTGGGGCTTTGGTCGCTTGGCAACGCGGGGCGGAGCCGCCCCGCTCCTGGCCGCGGGGAGATCTCGCGAGAAGAGCGGCGGGCGGGCGGGCGCGCGCCTTAGGGGCGGCAGGGGTGTTGTTGGCCCTGCTGAGTCTGAGGCGATGAACTTCACAAGGCTCCTCGCTCCCGGGCAAGGAGGTGCTACATTCCGCGTAACGAGGCATTCACAAGCTGTTCTTAAAGCTGCTGAGCGGAGTTTGACCCGACACTAGCTCTCACACCGAATACAACCCAATGAACCTTGCGTGCCCTGGAATTCAGGCACTGCCCAATCCCCTCATCCAGACAGGCAGCATAAGCTATTTTGTTGGCATCTACCAACGGTTTCAGGGAGACACATACAGCAGCATACGTACAGCTAACTATTTTTAAGAAAAAACAGCGTGAACCTGACCAGTCTGAAGTGATTTTAAATAAGCCACAGCAGGAATGAGCATGGCATTTTATTAACAAGGGTTAAGCAGGCTTCCAAAATGCATTTGATCATACATGTTTTGGTGTGATCTCAAGACAGAGCAAATCAATATAAGAAATGAGGGCTGTATGTTAACCCTCTCAGGAATAATAACAGAGTGATTCTTGCATTGTGTGCTGCCAAAAGATAAAACCAAAGCATCATGAAACAGAAACACTGAATTGCACATAATTCTATGAAACAAAGGTCTTCCAATCACTGCTGCTCTGAAACAACAAAGACAGATAAGAAATGTTTTAAAAACCTGCTCTTTGTCTGCTATCTTTCCCTAATAATTTTAAAAACTTGGACCGACATTATAATCCATGTGCTAAATTGGGAGAACAGTTGTGGGGAAAAAACCCCAAAACAGAACAGTTTTTTCATCTGGTTCGGTTAGTCCAAATTCAGATAAACATGTCTACACCACTGGATAATTAGATTAATTTTAAAGGCAGAAGAAAACACAGTTTAAATTTATCATGTATCATCTTTCAGAGTACTGTTACAAAAATAGCTATTCAACTGATACATTATCTTATTCCTGATACAATAAACTTACATCATCAGTTTGATACACATTATCATTACCCAACAGCATGCTTTTAGTAAAAAACAGGGAAAAAATGCTTCATGGTTTTAGTTTATACTGCTTGTTTTAACCCTTTCTTAACATACAAAAATCAGACAAAAGTATCTAAACCCAGCATTTCTGCAAATATTTATATCCCAGACAGTTCCTAAAATAGGCCAGGTACACTCATTCCTAAAGGCAACTGCTTTGAACAGCAGACATCATTGGTTTTTCTCAAGATATCCCTGTATTAAGCCTTGAACTCGAGACAGAATAATCTCATTGGAGCTGCTGCACTCTTCTGGGCCATATGGTGGGTCAATAGTCAATACCCCTGCCACACATAGCGTCTTTCCCGATTCGCCTTGCTCTGTTATGGGGATGTGGTTTGTTTCTAACCAAGTCTTCAAATTGTTCTTCCTCTTTTCAAGTTCCTCTGGGCTGTAGACTTTGCTTTCTTCAGGTTCAAATATGCAAGAAAGTCGTTGCTTCATTTCATCATCCCCTTCTTTCAGTATTTCTACCTCCTCAACAGCATGGCCCAGGACAACTGATATGGACGCACTTTCATTCTCCGGGAATGTTGCGAGGACAATACTGCCAACGAAAGAGGGATGTAAGAGTCACTGTATTTAACTGAAGACTGAGAAAAAACAAGCCAAGATTCTTGAGGATGAGTGCTCATTAATGTCAGCATAACCCAGAATTTAGTCAGCATCGAGTACCCAGCATTCTTCTTGAAGAGCATGCTGCTATACCTTTAAAATAATGAAAATGTGGGGCTTCGCACCTTCTGGCCTTGAATTTAAAACCCCTCTAGATACGATCAAGCAGAATGTTACTTTCACAAAACAAAGTGTACATTAAAAGCAGGGCTGGGAATCTATTTTTGTGCGGCATTCCCAACCTTGCTGAAGAACCTTAAGTCTTCCAACATTTAAAACCAACACTACCTTCATACATTGAGCGCTTTGAATGTTGAAGGCAATGGTGGCAGTTAACATCAGAACCTTTTAATGTCAAATTATTGATACCTCATTATTGATCATTACTTTTTTAGTTTTACATGAGTGTTGCTAATTTCTTAACTGAAAACTATAGCTCGCATATTACAATGGGAACATAACCACAGCAGATTCAGGCTCATGTTGTAGCAGCCTGCTCTTTTCCCAAGGACACTTATATTCCAGAAGTCCTAAAATAGAGGTAGAAAAGCAGCTTGTTACATTTCTAGGATCTCTTCCCCATCTATCAACATAGAGGATCAGAAAACATTTTCTCCATCTTGTGGGAAGAAACACTCCCAAATTTGATGCCAGCACTTTGTCAGTCTACTGTTGCCACCATTAGTGGACGTAATGACTTTCTGGGAAACATGCAATGAAATATGCCTTGATTTTAGCCTGAGCCATTCCCAGAATCACTCAGAGCTGCATGTACCTTTCATGCTAAAATGATGGGCAACTCCAAGAGAAGATTAGAGTATTGGAGCTACTCCAGAGCTGCAGCAACAACCAGTTCTTCTGAAACACATCAGAAGCTGGATGGTTTTGTTTCTAGCCTCCATCTTATGCTCAAGTGGGACAAGCGCACAACCAAAAAGGTTTGAAAATGGAAGCAAGGAGACACATTTCTGCCCATTCTCTGGTGTGTTCTACTTCTCAAACCCTGTTTTCAAGTTACTCATTTGAAATACCAGAGACCTGTGGTACCACTTTCTGGCTAGTGTCATGGCTGATTTTCCCTGCTTCCTCTCCAAAGCAGCCACTGCGCTATCATGGCTGTTTGACTGCAGGAGAGAGCCCAGCACCAATGTGAGAACTCTGGACAGAGGATGAGGATTTGAACATCTAAAGCATTAAAAATATTCCTTTATTCTGGCTTTCTTGAAGCGGGGCTTAGTATATTATTAAAAGTGGCCCTGAACGCATGGATATCATTTAAAGTACTAACCTCAGGTCCACAATAAAGTTAGCATGAATTCAGATTATCCATTCCCCAAACTCTTCAATCCTTTGAATGAGATTAGAGTGGTTTTAGGTAAACTGGCCTCTTGCCAATACAAAAAAAAACCCAAACAAAACCAACCAAAAACCAGAACATACAACCCAAACATGCGTTTTTTGCTCCATATAAATTTGCTTCAGTCTTGGAATCTTTTCCTGAAAACCTTATCTTCCTTAGCTTTACAGAAACAAAAGATTTGGTACTTACCTAGCAGAAACTGGATCAACTGTTAAGACCCATCCTTCATATTCATGTTTCTCAACTACAGCAACTTTCACCAGTTTGTTCAAATATGCTTCCCACTCTAGAGGGCTTTTTTTCTGCCACTCATCCATATTTCCTGCATCCAGAACCTAGAAAATAGAGCAGTTAGCAGAGGCAATGAATCCTTTTGCTTTGCCTTTCACATGAGAAGCAAGTTTGCATCAATGTATGAATCTTCCATTTGTCTTAAGCCTAATTTGCTTTATTTTAAAAGCAAGCATTCACACAAGTGGTTTGCATATTGCTGCAGTTCTGCCATTTCCCACCCAGTTCACCTGTTTTTAAAGGCACAAATTAAAGACAAAAAAAATTTGTTCTGCTAATGTAACACTGTCCCGTGGCATTAAATATTACATGTACTATTCTGCCCCCTTACAAAACCTCGGTTTTCCTGATCCTTAAGGGCAGCATTTTTCTCCTCTTCCTCTGTGTGCTGGCACATCCCTGGCGTCTATGCCCTTCCACTGCCTGCTATCCACTCGGATCCTGGCGCTATCCACTCGGATCCTGGCTCTATCCTCATCCCCTACAGTACAGCAAGTGCTCTTCCACTCTTTCCTCCGTATCAGCTGCACTACTAGCAATCAGAGCAGAGCCACCCCTGTTGCAACCTGGTGCCGCACAACTGTTTTGTCTCCATCCCCGTATCCCCCCGGATATGGGCTGGGGAGAGATGGAGGGCGGACACAAGGCAGGAGGAAGCGCCCTATTTTGTTCCCCCCCAGGGTTCCTCAAGCCTGAAGCGGGACGGGCAGCGCAGGCAACGAGCTGGGCACGGGAGGAGAACCACCCGGCGCCATAGGGCAGGAAAGGGGAGCGCACTGGACCTCCGCGGCCCTGCAGCCCGGATCCCCGCTCACCGACTCGATTCCCGCGTCTGCCGACGGTGCCCGGGAGCTGGGCCCGCCGCTTCCTGCTGCCGCTCAGCGCCCTCCCCCGACACAGTTTGGGTTGTTTGGGTTATTTTAAACACGGAATTGGAGGCTTCCGAGGCAGGAAAATGCTCAGATCTGCGGTGTTTTAAAAATAAGGGTGTGCATATAAATTATATATAGGTTTATATACATAAGAAGCCAGATTTCGAAACAAGGAGGTGGAGCGTGCATCTACCCCGTGTGCTGCTTTCCGCTTAGCTTGAATTCGGCTGGGTTTGACGATCCTGCTGCTAGAGCTGAGATCGCTCACTCCAGCATGCAAAACACTGACTCTCCAGGAAATCTGGGTACTTAAATAGGTATAGGTGCGTGCTGTGTGGATCCGCTCCATAAAACTACATCTGCTCCCTGTTTTCAGTTGTCTTCACAAGCACTCCTGTGTAACCATGAAGGTGAGAAACTGCCATCCCAAAACCTCTGTTTTAACAATGAAAAGCTGGAAAAACTTCCTATGGATGAAGCAAACCAGCTGCCATTGTTTCAGTAATTTTAAGTGTAAGCGAGCATGTGATGGTTTTGAGAGTGTAACAAAAAATATCAAGGATATAACACAAGTTTCATTTTGCAGGCTTGAGGAGGTAATTTCCTTTTTAAAGTTTCAATTGAACTTCCACAGTGCTACAGGGATTATTTAGGAATGGTCTATGCCTCTGTATTTGGCTGTTTTCTTTCAGAGTTACGATTTATTACAAAGCAGGGATTAACAAATCTAATTGCTTTCAGTATAAAAGCAAGCAACACAATGGGAAGTCAGAGCTTCTGTTTGTAAGAAAAGCAGTGGAAAGATGGAGTACGGTTTGGGTTTTATATATTTATAAGCATAACACATTTTAGGTTTACTTCCTAACCGGTCCCCTTCTGGATCATGGACTGGAGGGCAGTTTTCTCCAAGTCCCTTTTGACCAAAATACTCCAAACATACTTGGTTTTAATTCTTGGTCTTGGTCTGTACTGATTATTTTTTCTATTGTAGGTAATTTTCTGACTACAAAGCCCCTATTTTTTTTTATCCTGTCATCTAAGCTGTATTTACAGACACAGGTCACTATCATGAGCAGTTACTACAGCTTTTACACCGTAAATTTAACCTTAGGTCACAGCCAAAAAGCGGCGCAACTCTCATAACTCCAGTAACTGTACTAGTAATGAAAGCTGTGGCACAGATGAAGTTGTAAATACACAATTCGTGAGACCAAAGAACTCCGCCGGTATTACTGCACCGCTTCCCCAGTCCTACAGAGCCCTTCTGGGGGGACCGGCAAAGCCTGAACCGCTTCCCTCCGCCCTGGGGAAACGGTGCTTGTCAGGCACTACTGGGCCTCCGCTCCCCTTCCCGCCGCGGTCCCGTTCGCTCACCGCGGGGCCCACCAGTGACCTGGCGGCTCCCCGAGACCGCGGTAGGCGCAGAAACCCGCTCCCCCACCTCAGGCGCTCTCCCTCAGCCGCTATAGGCCGCACGTCGCCATGGCAACGGCCTCCCCGCAAAGCCCGTCCTACGCCCGGCGCGGACAACGGTAAGCGCGCATGCGCGCCGCCTCGGGGGAGGAGGCAGAGGAGGGCAGGGAGCAGGCGCGTGTGGTGGCGCGTGCGCGCGGAGGGGTGGCTGAGCGGAGCCGTTAGGATGTCGCGTTACGGCCGCTATGGAGGCGGTGAGTGCCTGCGGTGCGGTGAGGGGTGGGGGGCTGCGGCGAGGGCAGGGTGGGGGAGCTTTCGGAATGAGCAATCGCAGTGGGGGGCCGGGTGGAGCGGCCAGTGGCGGGGAAAGAAAGCGAAGCGGCCGTTGCTGTTGCTATCGCCGCCGCCATTTTGCGTCAGCGGCTGGGGGGAAGGGGGGAAGCGGGGAAGAGGGTTGCGCGCGCGTGCCGCCGTTCGTGAAGGCGATAGCTGCCCCCGCAGACAAGATGGCGGCGCCAGGGGTGAGGCGGAGCGGAGTCGCAGCTTCCTTGGGAGCGCGGTCGTGCACAGTCGCTGACAGCGGCCTTGCTCCCGGCAGAGACCAAGGTGTACGTGGGGAACCTGGGCACGGGCGCGGGAAAGGGCGAGCTGGAGAGAGCCTTCAGCTACTACGGGCCACTGAGAACCGTGTGGATCGCGAGGAACCCGCCGGGGTTTGCCTTTGTGGAGTTTGAAGATCCGAGGGATGCTGAGGATGCTGTCCGTGGACTTGATGGAAAGTATGTATGCATATGTTTTCAGAAGCTACAGCCGGTTTTAAGACCAGGGGTTTTTCTTCTCCTTTTTGTAGTTCTGCTATAAACAGTGACAATTAACTTAGAGGCATCATGAACCTGTTGCAGGGTGATTTGTGGCTCCAGAGTTAGAGTGGAAGTGTCAACTGGGATGCCTCGTCGCTCCCGTTATGACAGGCCTCCAGCCCGGCGCCCCTTTGACCCAAACGACAGATGCTATGAGTGTGGTGAGAAAGGCCACTATGCTTATGATTGTCACCGCTATAGTCGCCGAAGGAGGAGCAGGTACGTGTGGGGCCAGAGTGGCTGGATTGCTTCGCCAGTTCTCTGTTGTGTAGCTCTTGTTAGCCAAGAACACAATGTTGCACCAGTTTTCTTTAATCTTTAACGCTAGAATAATTGTATAGGTGTATATTACAATTTGTTGCTATTTCTATCAAATGTTAATATCTTAATAATCAACCTGGTCAAAACCTTTCAGGTTTCTTCGTTTGAGTCAGTCGCCTTGATTCAGAATGTCACGAGCCTTAAGATTTCATGCTGAGGCGCCTTGCAAATCCGACACTTAAGATCCTCCTAGACCTTGAGGTGATCAGCATAAGAGGCCAGATCCCCTCGAGCCATCTACACGTAGCTTCACCTTATTCTTTAAGGGCAGAAAAATTGAGACGGTGATCGCCGTAACAGTAAATTTGGCTTTCAATTGGGGCCCCCCTCCGGTTTAGAAAGAGGAACACCAGATTGACCACATTCCCACCTAGAAAAATCTTCTTGCGTCAATCAAGCCTCACCCTGGCTCATTGGGCTGTCAGTTTGATCGTCGTTAGATTGAAGAGAACACCTAGATGCAGCGATCGGCTATAGATACTTCTAGATCGTCTAGATCTGCTAGACCTTGGGCCAAAGAGGGTCGACCTGCAAACTTGCAAGGTTTATTTTAAATACGCATTACAGTGTTTTCTATTCTAATGTAATTCTGCAATGTCATTCAGCTTTTAACATTTTCCTAGGTAGTAAAATGCTCAAGACGAGTAGGCCCAGAGATTTTTCCAGCTGACAGATGCTAGTTCTTTAGTTGTCTGAAATAAGTTTTGACTTCAGCAGGGCCTCACATGCATTGGTTGCTGCAGCTTTGTCCTCATACCTCTTTTCTTTAACCTAAACCCAGGTCCCGGTCGAGGTCCCGTTCGCGGTCCCGAGGACGAAGGTATTCTCGCTCACGCAGTCGCAGTCGTGGTAGGAGGTGTGTTTTGTCTCTTATTCCTATTTGCTTCTGCTTAAAAAAATCTACAGTTGTGCAACTCTTTTTTCATCAACTTCTTTGCAGGTCCAGGTCAGCTTCCTATCGTAGATCCCGCTCCGTTTCTCCTCGTAGGTCTAGGTCTGTGTCTCCCCGCCGGTCCCGATCGGCATCCTTGAAGAGATCAAGGTAATTGGTGTTAATTTTTAATAGCCTGTGTGCGTTGTTTTTGTTGGTGTTTTTTTGCTTTATTTAGGGGATCCAAGGAGGTGTTGGAGAGCAGATTGCAAAGGGTGTGGACCTCTAGGAATCTGACTTTAGCACACTTTATTTATAAACTCTCTGATATAATCCTAGTTGAATTTATAGGTGTGGTTGTATGATTAGTTTTGAGCACTTACGCAGCTGCATATCCCATGATGAATTTTGATGTCTAAAACATCTAATGGTCATGTAGATAGAGTTGACTTTGATTCTGTTTCATGTTGTGTTTATTTTTTATTACAGGTCTAGATCAAGATCTAGATCTAGATCCAGATCTGTTACATGGCCCCGAAGCAGGTAAGATCTCTTCTATGACTGCAAGTGCTTAGTAAAAGTTGCTGAAAAGTCTGTTTAGGCTTTCTAACAGCTGTTCAGATTTTCGGAAAAAGCTTTGTTTAAGCCCCATTAACATCAGGATCTGTAGTTCTAAAAAGCAGTGCAGAAAGTTGTTCTTCTTGTATTGTTTTACGTAATACTGATATCCAGGTCCCAGTAGTCATCATGGAACTGTTTTCATCAGGTTGTATTAACAGCTAACATAGCAAATAAATTTAGAATTAATCAGAAAAGGTTTTTCCTTTGTATAGCACAGAAGAGATTGTGAATTCTTCCCTTTATTTGTCAGATGCCCTTCTGGTAGCGTATTAAAACATTAATGCCTATAGCCCTGCAAGTCACAAAGGGCTTGTTAGTACTGAGTGTTATAGCTGCTTCCAGCTCTGTTGAATAACAAGTGTGTCAGCCTGCAGGAGCTGAATTCAGTTGGAGATGAACACTTGTCAGAACTATTTTGTACCAATAAATGTGCCATAAGATGAAATTTCAAAGGAACACAGGATGTCATTCATTCTCTGAAGCTGTAGCTTAATCCTTCCATAGTAAATGAATGCAGTGTCTGCTTTATGCAGTTTTGTCCAGGCGGCGAGGTTGATGAGATGTCCTGGGCAAGATGTCATAGGAGAACAAGAGTAAATGGAAGTTCTGCTCTGAAGGAGATGGTACTGCTCTTGCCACAGCCCATTCCCAGGCTTACTGTTCTGGTTTGATGGCTGCTCTTTGAAATAAGCAATGTAACCATAATAACCAAACACAGGAAAATAAAAGGGAAGTTTTAGCTGAGGGGAGTAAGTGGAAAAGGCCATACCTGAAGATGGGAGATTCAGTGTGAAAGGTGGTGGTATTTTCTGAGTGGAACAGCAAGCAGTAACAGGAGTTTTTAGGCAATGGATAGATGAAGACCAGAAGACAGCGGCATTAAGAGCAGACATTCTCGCAAACAGTTCAGAAGCTAATAAGAAGGGAAATTCCCTGAGGCAGTAGAGCAATGCCTTTCACTGATCAGGTACACTTTCTCTACCTGTCAATAAAATATGTCACATCTTAGTACCAGGTCTTACACATTTAGTGTGAATCTTCCTGTCTCAAATATGGGAACATGCATGCTACCAGCTTCACTGCTGAGCTGTGTGTTTTCTTGCTGTAGGTCTAGGTCCCATGGGAGATCAAAATCTGGCTCGCCAGCTAAGAGGTAAGCATACAGTGATAAACCTGTAGTAGTAGCTAGTATTCAGTAGTAGGTTTGAATGGCTAACAGATCCTAGTCCTTTAGAAAAATATCCCCCAAATGTGTGTCCATCTGGTGGTGTGTCTGAGATTACAGAAGTTCCTCTACAGCTCTTTGGAATATGTTCCTTGTCTGTCTCTTTGGTTTCATTACCTGTTTGTAGTTTCCAACACAGTAATTTTGTGTGTCTGTGCTCAGCTGTGTTAAATTTTTCTGTCCATCAGAAAAAGGGCTTTAGCTTTATGAAGGCTGTTGATAAAACAGCAGGGGTCTGTGATAATGTTTCTCAAAGCCTTGACTCTACTACCACTTGTTTGCCTATTCAGTCTGCTGAAGACAGTTGCTTAAAATAAGGCTCCATGCTAAATACCCTCTCACAGTAAAACTTGATTTGAAAACTTCAATATTTTAAAGAGCTTTTGGCCAGACTCCTGTAGTGATTCCATTGCTGTTTAAGATGCTTATTTATTAGGTTTTTAATATAAAAGTTGAATTTAACTTTTAAACTGCATTGATGATATTCTGTTTTGACAGTCGGTCAAAGTCCCGATCACCATCTCCAAAGAGAAGGTACGTTCATCTCCCTACTAATAATGTAGACTACATAGAGGTGGCAGTTTAGTATCTGCAGTGATCTCTGTTGAGGAGTTTGACTGCCACTTGTAGGGAAACACTGGAGAGGTATTTTGCAGGATCTCTTCAACAGAAATAATGTTGTGATTGTGGTTTTATATATGGTAAATATATATCTGGTAATAATTCTTTGGGATACTGGTTACATACCAGCATTACTTCTTGTCTTTGCCTGCTCCTGTGTTCAGTTCACTAACAGTTTTATTGCACAGAGACTTTCAGCTACTGAGTTTAAAGCACAGAATAAGTGTGGAGATTAGCTTTGAGTCTCATTAAAAGCTACAGTGAGATTGGAGAATTGAGAGTGGAGCAATGTTGTGTACCTGTCAGGAATGGAAGATTGAGCCTGTTAGTTTTACTGCTGTTACTCAGGATTAATTTTTGCCCCCAGTAAATTAGTAAATTGTGATCTCTCTGTGTTTGCATATAGGTGTAGTGACAGAATCAGCATCCTTTCCCCTAGTTTGAATCCTTTAATAGTCCATTTTTACAACTTTGGTGTTCAGGATTTGTGGGGAGGAGAGGTATCGTAGTAAATAGTAGTAGACCTGTGTGTGTGCCTTGCCTGGTGATCTTTTGGGTCACAAGTTTTGGGTCACAATCACAAAGGATTTGAATAAATGCTCAAGGTTGAGTGATCATGGTAAGTTTTGACAAGTTGCTGTATCAGAACAGTGAAGAAATACCCTGCTTCCATTAAGGTCACTTGATCACATTTTTAATTGTATTGTAAAAATAACAGTAGAGAATTTTAACAGTATGAAAGTTAACAAGAAAAAGGTAGTATCTCTAACATTAAATTGTCAACCCATTAACTTTGTCAATAGTGATTTTTTATTTTTTTTTTTCATTTATAAAAACAGTGCTTAAAGGATGTGGAGTAGCCTGAGTATCCTCCTATTGTTTTTTCTTGTATTTGTGAATCCAGCATGACTACTGAAATGTTAACTGTGGATTCTTTTCCTTTCAGTCGTTCACCATCAGGAAGCCCTCAAAGAAGTGCAAGTCCTGAAAGAATGGATTAAAGTTAATCTTTTAGGAAGAAAGTTATTTTGCTTACATTATTATAAGGGATTTTGTGGTGTCTTTGTAAATGTAAGAATGTAGATAGGAGAGTATATCAACTAAAATTTGGCATGATCTGGATCTTCTGAGTTAGTCACACTAATAGACTAGCACAGGTCTCTTTTTATTGTATGAATTAACTTCCTGTGAAACGAAAATGCGGGACTTTTTTATTGGCACATTGAAATAAAATGTGTATTTTTAACTAAAACTCCTCTGTAGTAACCCTGCTGCTTCTGTTAACATTTGGGTAATTTTAGCTGTGTGCCATGTAATGTGGATGACAAATGTCTAAAATGGATGGGAATGACTAATACCGGTGTCTTCTCCAAGTAGTCACTTTTCACAGTTATTGTTGAATGCTACTTGGTGAAAGGATCAGTTTCTGCTTCCTTTGAAATGGAATTTAAAATCCATCTCTGTCTGCAGATGGCCAAAATTCAGCATATGCACTTTTTATGATACTTAGTGGTCATTCATTTCCGCTCCCTGATCTGGCTATTCTGCAAGGCTTACTCTGATGCTTGACGAGTTGTGATACCAGATGCCCAAAGACTTAGGATGAACTTTTATTCAATACAGTGACATCTGCATAAAAAAAATAACATCTGCAGAAATCTCTAAACATAAATCATTAATAACTTGATGATTGCTACTGCAGCTTGTTGCATTTTTTGGTTCTTTAGGCTGTTAATACAAAGAAAACTTGTGTCTTGAAACATTTTAACATTTTCCTTTTTGGAGGCAAGATTGAAGGTCTTCTGGCCTACTTTCTGAAGGACCTTAGGAGAATGTGTTGAGAGGCAAAAGAAAGTTGTTACTAGTCTTTATGCATCTCACTTAAACCTTCTTCCTTAAAGTGAAAGATTCTCTCAGCTGACCTCAGGAATTCTAACCTGCTTCACAGAAATCCATATGGTTTTAAAGCAGCCCAGATCCTGGAGATGGTTTTGTTGAATTAAGCTATTTTCTTACAGCAACTGCACACCTGCAGGAATAATTATTTGTGTATAGGTATGTCAAACTCTATGTTTGTCCTCATTCTGTAGAAAAGAATTGCATGATAAGGCACTTTGACACAGCACTTGATCCCAGCAAGAGACTGGAAATGATGTTAGACTGAACAAACAAGCTGATAGCTGGAGGGGAGAAAAGCAAACATATCTAGTAGAAATAAAGTCCAGTTTCAGCAGCAAACAGCCACTGAAATAGAAAGTGAGGCTTATTTCAACTTCTTACGATGTCTCTCATGGCAGTTTGCTTCCAATGTGTAAAGCACAGCAGAAGAAAACCCAACAAGATTAACTTCGGTCACACCGTGGGTAACCCATGTTTTTCAAAACCCAGTTTTCCTTAATAGTGACTTTATGGAGTTTCTTCAGTGCATGAGTTAATAGTCCAGTTCTGAGCATACTGTCATGCTGCAGCACTGTCTGGCCTTTATGCCTGGTGCTGTTGGGAGCTTGGTGTCTGCCTGGACAGTCCTGTGGTGCTCAACGATGGGGATAAGTGTTTCATCTGCTGGGAGCAATGATTGATATTCTGGTAATATCCATTTTCCACGGTCACCACAATGGGGGGGGGGGGGCCAGTGACACTGCAGTGATGTAGCAGAAATTCCCAGTCTGTGTCTTGTGTTTGGAATATTTCCTAGTTGTGCATTGCCTACCCAGTTCATAGTGTACCTGGTGAGAGGCATATGTATGCCAGTGCTCTGGAATTTGATGAGCTTTTTTCTTTTCTGTACTCTTAAGGCATGCCTACTCCACAATAAACCTGCAGACTGATGTGACAGCTGTACTGGTACCTGTTTTTCAGTACCCAGAAACACTGGAAGATGGAGCAGAGGAGGCTGCAGGGGACTGAGGTTCCTCTAAACCTAGGATTAGTGGTGAGGACCTGAGCAAGGAGGCAGAGCTGTGCCTGCTGAAGGACAGCCAGCATTTGTGAGGTACAGAGAGAGAGAGCAGTACCAAATCCGTACAGCTGTGGTGCCTCCTGCAGCTCCAGTCCTTATCCTTGGAGCAGGCTGCACAGCTCCAGCTGTCTCCTGACTTTGGTAGTTCCCCAAAAAATGGGCATGCAGTCTTTGCACGCTCTTGGAAAAGATGCCTGGAGAGGGATGTGTTTGTGTGATGGCTGCTGCTGTGACTGCAGGCCCTGCACCTCTGGGTGGGGTATGTGCACCCTGTGCAGCCTGCCTGGGGTGGTGGGCAAGGGGCACAGGCCTAAGGTAAACCCAATCCCACAGGGGTGGTGGTGCTTCTCCCTCTGGTTTACAACCTGAACTTAGCATTTCCTGGACTTGGACCAGAATGGCTCTATCCTCCAAATGACACCAGCCCCTAGGCAGTGTGAACTGCAGCCACGTAATGTGTGACCACTGTGTGTGTCAGAATAGCAGGGTGCTTGTTTTGGGGGCCAGGGTGGCAGAACTACTGTAATGAACATTAGAAACGTGGAGGTTTTAATCAGACAGGCCCCTGTTACAGAGCTTGGGGGATGATGCATGTGGAAACACAACATTAAGATGATGGTTTTCTTTCAGCTGTTGTATATTCAGACTATAGATGGATGCACCTGCTGCACTTCAGCAGCCAAGGCATAGTGCAGATAGGTGCTCTTAGGCTTTAAAATAAGAATTAAACCAGAGGATCCAGGGCAGCTGGCTGGGATAATCCCAGAACACTATCCTCTGCAAAGCTATTCTGTACAACCATTGAGTAACAGTGCCATTGCAATGCTGCTGTCAGACCTGATTGCTCTAGCCATGAGAGCTGCCCTGTTGCCTGTCATGGGAAGGGCAGGGATGATTTGACACCAAGCTGTGGTGCAGGTCCGTGACAGAGAGAGAGCAGCAGCCAACACAGCTAAGAGCTCTTCAGTAGGGATAGCTGATGTAAGGAACAACTACAACTTTATCAGCCTTCTCATGTCCATTACCAGATAGATACTCTCCTGCTGTAGTTTGAGCTGTGACATGCCATGTCCTAAACAACGTGCTTTCAGTGCGTTTTTACTGCAAAATAAATCCTAATGCCCAGGGTGAGGCTGGACAGAGGGTGAGAGCTCTTTGCACAGACCAGACAGTGGCAGGGGTGGTAACAGGAGTTAAAGCCAGCAGAAACCATGGGTGAAAACCACAGAGGAGGAAGAAAGTTCCCAAATGGGATGCATCACCCAGGGTTCTTTGAAAGCACCATTCAGCACCTGGCAGGATTTCTGGCTAATCTGTTAGACGCACTTACCCCTCTCAGTGGTAGGAGTCAGCATCCCCCTATGCAGTGTTGAACACGAGCCATGTAGTATGGTTGTACTCCTCACCCGGGTGGAGTAGAGTGTTGGGGAAGTGGGGCTGGGGAGGGACAGCAGCATGTCAGTGATTGTGAGTGCACCCCAGGGACCAGAAAGGGTCCTGAGGTTCATATATAGACGTGGGTGGTTGTGGTGGTACAGTTCTGTGCCACAGGACCCAAGCAGCTCCAGGGGTGGGGGGAGGTTCACCTTGTTGACAGCATCAGGCCAGTTCTGGGTTTCCAGGCAGAAAGCCGAGTGCTTGGGGTACACAACAGCACCTTTGCCCTTCAGGGAGCCATCCAGGTTGTTTCCGGTGTAAAACTGGATGCCAGGCTGCGTGGTGTGAACCTCCATAGCCCTGCCGGTGGGTGGGTGGTGAGCCCTGGGGAGATGCCAGGAAGGAATCTTTTACAATGAGGATGGTAAAACAGTGGCACAGGTTGCCCAGAGAGGTGGTGGATGCCCCATCCCTGGAGACATTCAAGGCCAGGCTGATGTGGTTCTGGGCAACCTGATCTAGTTGGAGATATCCCTGCTCATTACAGAGGGTTGGAACTAGATGACCTTAGAAGGTCCCTTCCATCCCAAACTATCCCATGATTCTATGCCAGTAGAGGATGCCAGGGAGCTGGCTGAACAGCCAGGGGTGGCAAACTGCTTCTGAGGCCCCAAGCCTACCTGGCCGCGAGGTGTCGAGCCTGCTCCTGCTGCAGGCAGAAGTTGTGGTCAAAGCCATCCAGGCCAAACTTCTGCAGGTGTTTCCCCAGCTCCACGGGCTGCCGGAGATCAAAGCCAGTGCCCTGCACAGCAGCCACCTCCCCTGCACAAGGAGAATAGCAGTGTTGTCTGTCACATGCTAGCAAACACTCACAGTGCTGCCCTCTGCACGGGCCTGAGATCCCTTCCTTTGGTTTAACCTGTTTGTGATCCTTGTGTCATTGAGGTGCCCGTCTTTGAGCAAGGTTGCCTTGTGGCCACTGTGACTCAGGATGGGGCACCACCACCCTGTCCTACCAGCAGCCCCTGTGGACCCTGCTGTGCTTAGCTAGGATACAGCAAAGCCAAGGAGACAGAAAACACAAGGGGGAGCTTGAATGTGTAACTATGTAAGTTAATTATTACAAACCCAAAACTTATTAGCTGTTAATATTTATATAAGCATAAGACATATATATACATATACTGTCTGTCTGTAAATGAATTAATCCTCCCGGATCTCTGAACAAACATCCGTGAGATGGCCACAGAGGTGTCCCACCTGCCAGAATGGTGAATATGGGATATATACTGGGACCAGTACCCTTCTGCTTCAGGGCATTGTTTTGGGGGAAAACAAGGCTTAAGACAGTAAAACCAGCATTTTCGCTTAAGTCTTTTTTTAAGGCCTGATGCGGTAACACAGCATCCTGTGATAAAGCTCTTGAAGTGAGAACAACTCTAAGACATACTAAACAGCGCAGAACAGCCATCCCAAACCCTTGTGAGAGAGGCAGGGGAGGAGTAGGGAAGGGAGTTTTTCCCTAAAATCATATTTTTCTATCCGTCTCTAAAGGCAGAGCTTTCCAAAGGTGTTGGGAACAGCAGAGCTGGGGCATCCCAGCCCCGCTGCTGGTCCCATGTGCTGTGCTGTGCTCTCGCTCGCTGCAGTAAAGCACCCAGCTCAGCTGCAGCTCTGCACCAGTTCTGCTCTGCAAACCTTGAGAAACAGGACATCTCTGTGGCTTCTGATCCTATCTAAAAGGAGCACATTTGTTGAATTCAGCTGTGGGGCAGAAAAAACGCCTTGAAAAAACAAAATTAAACCATTTTGATTTACGCACTTAGATAAAACACAGCACCCACTGCACGCGGGGCTCTGTCTTTAAACCTTGTCTAACCCCAGGGCTAAGACTACAGTGTTATCACCTTCAACAGCTACGTCTACCCAAAACACCAAGAGGGAACTGCAGAAAGCTGCAGTGAAGCTGTGAAACAGCTCCATGCTGAAACCAGTGCGGAGAAGCAGGGCAGTAGGTTTGGTAGGGCCTTAAGCTCTTCCCCAGCTTGATCCTGGGCTTGGCACACCAAGCTGAGCAAAAGGCACTGGGGCTGGGAGACCCCCTGCTGCAGATGCAAGCCAATGCATGCACACACAGCATGAACACAGATGTAGTGCTGTTTTTACCAGACACCTGAGCTAAAAGCTTTGCCTTTTTAAAGCCTCTCCTGCTTTCCCTCCTGAAGCCAGAACATGCACTCATCAAAGCAGCCCTGCGAGAACATCAGGGAAACAAACCCTGCCATTTCCAGCAGAGCTCACATTTACCAGAAGCCGCCCAGGGGCTCATGCAGCGCTGGGGCACACATCCTGCACTGAACCCAGCTTCTCTGCCCTTTGTGCTTTTCACTCTTAAAGTCAATACAACCTGGTATCAAGAATCGTTCTGCAATCAGATCAACTCCTCCTGCAACTCAGCAGTCACGCTACATGAGAGGCTGGTTTTTGGGAGTGTTACAGCCAAGCCACCCAAAGCAAGGTGCCCCCTTGTTGAGTGGGGGCCTATTGCTAAGTGCATGTGCTCAGTGCTGGATCTCCTGCAGGTACAAGAAACATGTTCCTTGTCCCATCTTGTTCAGATTATTTAATTTAGCAGCTTGCTCATTTATAGAATCATAGAATCACAGAATGATTTGGGTTGGAAGGCACCTCATTGAGTTCCAACCCCCTGCCATGGGCAGGGACACCTTCCACTCGACCAGGTTGCTCAAAGCCCCATCCAACCTTGCCTTTATGGGGAGAAACATGCTGTTTTCCTTAACTGGCTTTCCTCTTTTAATCATGTAGAACATGAAAGGCAGGAAAGAAAAGTGTTGGTTTTGTGTTTTCAGCCTCCCAGCCAGCAGTGCCAGATCTCCTGTCCCAGTGAGGGGACTGATGGCTCAGCTCTTGCAGGGAAGGATGATGGTGGGCTCCTGAGCACCAGAGATCCCAGCAGCTCTAGGGCTCAGTGCTGGAGTCCTCACCTGTGGATGAGGGCCCTGCTGTTCCTGGGGTCCCCTGTTGTATTTCCCCTTGCTGGGCAGTGCTGTTCCTTAACACACACACACATTCATGTGTAAAACCACCTCCACCATGTGCAGCACGTGTCTCACCACCCACCAGTGGGGATCTTGGTGTTGTCCACAGGCAGGTAGGAATCTGCTTCAATAGAGATCTCATGGTCGTAGATATCCCGTGAGCCCTGCAGGAGGATGGCAAATATTGGGATTCCTGCTGCAGCCCTTCCACCGTTCAAGCATCTTTAAGCACAGCCCAGATGTGACTGCCCACAGTGGTACAAGTGGCCTTGTAGTGCCTGGGGGACCTCCTGGCTGTCATCCCACCTTCACTCTGGGTACAGGACAAAGGTACCAGCACAGGCAAAACCTGAAAATCCTAGGGGTCCATGGGACCTAGAAGCTGTAAATCCTGCGAGACTATCAGACAAGCCAAAACGTGGTGGTTGCTGAGCACAC